GGACCGCATCCTTAAGTGACGGCCAACCACGTCGGTTTTGAGGGTTACCTCTCATTCACACCAGCGGATCTGGATCGTCTCTTCAAGTGCGACCTAACCCTGGTGGTCGACGTCGTCTCTGTCTCGTCCGCATGCACCGTCATGCGCCTCCTCTCTCTGGTAGATCTCGGACGCGTGTTCATCACGCGCTGCCGTCCCTGTTTCGGAATCACACCGCGCCACTTCCGGTCGTTGCTGTCGCCACAGACAGGAGTCTCATCGCTTTGCGAGCTACTGTCAATCTCTCTGCAACCCTTGAACAATCTTTCTTTTTTATCTTCGGGTGTTCCACCTCTAATCCAACTTGGAGGAGTTGGAATCCATGCACACATCTTCTTGGGACCAAGCGAGTGCTCTTCCTTTCCTTGCTGCTCCGTTGATTCAACTTGTGAGCCACTGACCTATCTCCACCATTCTCTCGATGCCACTGCATCACCTCTTTCTTGGATTGCTGACTTTCTTCTTGCACTTCTTTGGGTCTTTTGATACCATCATAAGTCCCAATATTTGGTGTTTTGGTTTCTGCCATGTGAAAGGATCTTTTCACCGCCAATGCCTTGTTGTAACAGCTCACTGAGAGTTGTTCTATGAGACCGCCTGCTGATTTGGCTCGTTCGATGTTAGGGGTTTCAGATTTGTCCCCAAGTACGGATCGGTTCTCACCAGTTCTTCCACCTTCACGTTCTGTCATTGACGTGCATATGCCATTCAGTCCTGAGGGGAAGAAAAGTTTCAGCCGTTGTAGGATGGTTAAGTCCCTACAAGTTTGTTGCTGTTAGCCACTACAGGGCAGTTCAGTTTCTGCAGGTTTGTTGTTGTTCAGGGCAGTTAAGTCCCTAAAGGTTTGCTGCTATTCAGGACAGTAAAGTCCTTGAAGGCTCGTTATTGTTAGGGCAGTTAAGCCCCTAAAGGTTAGGACAATGAAGTCCTTGAAGGTTCGTTGTTGTTAGGGCAGTTAAGTCCCTAAAGGTTAGGACAATTAAGTCCTTAAAGGTTCGTTGTTGTTAGGACAGTTAAGTCCCTAAAGGTTCGTTGTTGTTAGGGCAATTAAGTCCCTAAAGGTTCATTGTTGTTCAGGGTGGTTAAGTCCCTACAGGTTTGTAAACGCCTTTGAAGGCCTCCCATATGTTACTCATGGAAATCATGTTCTTGAAGTTTTGTTGTTGTTCGCCACTATTGATGGCAATCCAGTCCCTGCAGTTTGTTGTTGTTCGCCACTGGTGGTCCTTCATCTGTTCTTGTAGTTTGTTGTTGTTTGCTGCTGCAAGTCATCATCCATTTTTGATGGAAATCTCTCTCGTCCATTGCTGTCCAAGTTGAAGTTTCATGGTGCTAGTTTGCCCTCGTCCATTGCTGTCCAAGTTGAAGTTTCATTGTGCTAGTTTGCTTTTGTCCATTGCTGTCCAATTTGGTTTATTGACGTTCTCTACAATTGAGTTTGACTATTCCAAGCTTGGTTCATACAATCTTGTATGATCCAGCTTGAGGGGGAGTGTTGTAATTTGAGATAATATCTTTAGAATCTTCCTAATTAGAGGAAATAGATATATAATCTTTTATTTTATTTTACTTTTATAGTTTTCCTATTTTCCCTTTTAGGAGAATTATATTATTACAAATAAAGAGTATCAAAATGTATTTTTTATGATGGAGAATAATAAATCACTCTTATTTTCAACTAGGGTTATGTTAAAAATTTGGTCTTTATGGTCCCTACCATTAACCAAAGTTATAAAAGTGTTAAATTTTTGTTAAGTTTACCCCTACTGTCATTTCAGACAAATGTTTGACACTGTTGTAATTTGGTTGACAACAGTGGAGACCATTTTATAAATATAATTTTTTTATGTAACAACTAAAATGTAGAGGTTTAATTTTTTTTTTGTGTAGGGACCAAAATAAAAAATGGTGTCAAATATAGAGACCAAATATTTAATTTAACCATTAAAACAAACCTTTTACTGGTGTAAATTTCCTCCTCCTTTATTAAATTCCATAACCAATTTTCATAAAAAGTGCCAGAAGGGAAAATTACTCACTGGTAGATTTATGGATGCACCAGATAAATAAGGTTAAGGTGGCCAGTTTTCATATCCTTTTTGTTATCACTAGAAAGTTTATCAATGTTTACTGAAGTCGGAGAAGAACAATTCGAAATTTATCCAAAAATATGGATGTCTTTTGTTCATAAACTGGAAATGTTTTTCCAGGAATTTCTCTATTGTACTTCTTCAAACAAAATTTAAGGCATTGTATTGTTTTAATAATAAGCTACAACAGGTAACCAATCATGATCCTTTGATGTGTGGGAAAATGAAGCAAATGAAGTTGTTGTTCAATATTTTTAATTAGATTGTTTGCATATTTCATCTAGGAATATTGAACTAGTTAACTTTGAAGGTAAGCCTCTAATACCAAAAATAATATTAATATTCTTGTCATTTTTTAGGTGTGCTGTGGTGCTGCGTGATTTAATCATGCCTTATCTTCTCCGACGGATGAAGGCTGATGTGAATGCCCAACTTCCAAAGAAGACGGAGCATGTTCTATTTTGCAGCCTTACACCAGAACAAGTATCTGCTTACAGAGCATTTTTAGCTAGCACTGATGTGGAGCAAATATTGGATGGACACAGGAATTCTCTTTATGGAATTGATGTGATGCGCAAGATCTGTAACCACCCTGATCTACTTGAAAGGGATCATGCCTTCAGTGATCCAGATTATGGAAATCCAGAACGTAGTGGGAAAATGAAAGTTGTTGGTCAAGTGCTTAATGTTTGGAAGGAACAGGGTCACCGTGTTCTCCTTTTTACTCAAACCCAACAAATGCTTGACATTTTTGAGAATTTTTTGACATCTTCTGGTCATGTTTATCGGAGAATGGATGGTCTTACTCCTGTTAAACAGAGAATGGCCTTAATAGATGAATTTAATGCCTCAAGTGAAATATTTATTTTCATTTTAACGACCAAAGTTGGGGGTTTGGGGACCAATCTTACAGGTGCAGATAGGGTGATCATCTTTGACCCTGACTGGAATCCCTCAAATGATATGCAGGTAGGTTTGTACTGAATACATCCTTTTGTGGAAATTTTTGAAATTTGAATGAACTTCCCTTCCACCATGTTCACTTAGCCGGTTGGTTATAAATCATAGGAAAACAGCAAAAGTTGCGTTTATATATTTTATGGCATGGGGATTACGGGATAGAGAAATTAGGAATCAATGGGCATAGAAGGGTGAAGCATACAGTGGATTCTTTTATCTCCTTATTTCATTCCATCCTTAACCATGTATCTAACTAAACAAACAAGTTTGTGGAGTAAAATTGTCCGACGTTAATATTTGTGAAATTGTTTCCATTTTCTTATTATCATGGAAGATGTTGTTGTGGTTTCAAATTTAAATCCTAAGATGTTTAGTAATAGGATACTAATTTCTTTTAACAGGCCAGAGAGCGGGCTTGGCGTATTGGTCAGAAGCGGGATGTAACCGTGTATAGGTTGATAACACGGGGAACTATTGAGGAGAAAGTGTATCACCGTCAGATTTACAAACATTTTCTTACAAATAAGATATTGAAGAATCCACAACAGAAAAGGTTCTTTAAGGCCCGGGATATGAAAGATCTTTTCGTACTTAACGTGGATGGAGAAACTGGGTCAACTGAAACTTCAAATATTTTTAGTCAAATATCTGAAGAAGTGAATGTCATTGGGACACAGAAAGAAAATAAGGATAAGAATGAACATAGCCAAACTGCCAAACTGGATTCTGAGGATGTTGCAGTTAATAATGATGACAAGTCAGAGAGAGGATCTTCGGAGGGGAAGGGGAAAGAGAAGGTTGAACTTTATAACGGGGTTGATGATGGAACAGATATATTGAAAAGCCTTTTTGATGCCAATGGGATACATGTAAGTTTCTTCTCTGCATACGAGTGTTTCAGCGTACATCCAGTTTTATCATGCATCATTATGTTTATTTGACTAATTCTAGTAAAACTACACCCTGTTGCACAACATCAAGAACTAAGATAAATATGAACAATGCTAGCATACTATATGATTTGATTTTGTACTGTAATTACATTTACCATGCTCTGTGCCTCAGGCTAGTTTAGAATGTGATACTACCAATTAGCATGTTTCTTGTTATAGAGTGATGCTTTTTACTTTCTAGTACTTCTTTTCTGTGTTTCCTTTGTAATAAACCTGTTCTATGATGGTAGAGTGCCGTGAACCATGATTTGATCATGAATGCCCATGATGAGGAGAAGATGAGACTTGAAGAGCAAGCATCCCAAGTTGCTCGAAGAGCTGCAGAAGCTTTACGTAAGTCACGAATGCTCAGAAGCCATGATAGTGTATCTGTTCCTACGTGGACAGGAAGGTCAGGAACTGCTGGTGCACCATCATCTGTTCGTCAGAAGTTTGGTTCAACCGTGAATCCCCTATTGGTAAGTAAAAGCAAGGTATATGACGAGTTACCCAGCAAGGGAACGACAAAATTAAATGGATTCGCTGCTGGGGCATCCGCAGGTAAAGCTTTATCTTCTGTCGAACTTTTAGCTCAAATTCGAGGTAACCAAGAGAAAGCCATTGGTGCTGGGCTCGAACATCAGTCTAGCATGTTGTCAAGTTCCACGAATCAAGCAAGATCTGTAGATGTTAGATCTTCCAGGGCTACTGCAAGTTCATCTGGATTACAACCTGAAGTATTGATTCGGCAAATCTGCACTTTTATACAACAGCGAGGGGGTAGTTCTGATTCAGCCAGCATAGTTGAGTATTTTAAGGAACGTATTCCCTCACAAGATCTTGCCCTGTTCAAGAATCTGTTAAAGGAAATTGCGACTCTGCATAAAGGATCAAATGGATCTCATTGGGTTCTGAAACCAGACTATCAATTCTGATATCAGACACTACCAATAGGAGTGAGTTATTTGCCAATATTCCTATGCCAACAGTAGACTCTGAAGCATGCTTCTTCGTGCTGTCGTGGTTTATTCTTTTACTGATGTTAGTTTATGTANATGTATTTTTTATGATGGAGAATAATAAATCACTCTTATTTTCAACTAGGGTTATGTTAAAAATTTGGTCTTTATGGTCCCTACCATTAACCAAAGTTATAAAAGTGTTAAATTTTTGTTAAGTTTACCCCTACTGTCATTTCAGACAAATGTTTGACACTGTTGTAATTTGGTTGACAACAGTGGAGACCATTTTATAAATATAATTTTTTTATGTAACAACTAAAATGTAGAGGTTTAATTTTTTTTTTGTGTAGGGACCAAAATAAAAAATGGTGTCAAATATAGAGACCAAATATTTAATTTAACCATTAAAACAAACCTTTTACTGGTGTAAATTTCCTCCTCCTTTATTAAATTCCATAACCAATTTTCATAAAAAGTGCCAGAAGGGAAAATTACTCACTGGTAGATTTATGGATGCACCAGATAAATAAGGTTAAGGTGGCCAGTTTTCATATCCTTTTTGTTATCACTAGAAAGTTTATCAATGTTTACTGAAGTCGGAGAAGAACAATTCGAAATTTATCCAAAAATATGGATGTCTTTTGTTCATAAACTGGAAATGTTTTTCCAGGAATTTCTCTATTGTACTTCTTCAAACAAAATTTAAGGCATTGTATTGTTTTAATAATAAGCTACAACAGGTAACCAATCATGATCCTTTGATGTGTGGGAAAATGAAGCAAATGAAGTTGTTGTTCAATATTTTTAATTAGATTGTTTGCATATTTCATCTAGGAATATTGAACTAGTTAACTAAAAATAATATTAATATTCTTGTCATTTTTTAGGTGTGCTGTGGTGCTGCGTGATTTAATCATGCCTTATCTTCTCCGACGGATGAAGGCTGATGTGAATGCCCAACTTCCAAAGAAGACGGAGCATGTTCTATTTTGCAGCCTTACACCAGAACAAGTATCTGCTTACAGAGCATTTTTAGCTAGCACTGATGTGGAGCAAATATTGGATGGACACAGGAATTCTCTTTATGGAATTGATGTGATGCGCAAGATCTGTAACCACCCTGATCTACTTGAAAGGGATCATGCCTTCAGTGATCCAGATTATGGAAATCCAGAACGTAGTGGGAAAATGAAAGTTGTTGGTCAAGTGCTTAATGTTTGGAAGGAACAGGGTCACCGTGTTCTCCTTTTTACTCAAACCCAACAAATGCTTGACATTTTTGAGAATTTTTTGACATCTTCTGGTCATGTTTATCGGAGAATGGATGGTCTTACTCCTGTTAAACAGAGAATGGCCTTAATAGATGAATTTAATGCCTCAAGTGAAATATTTATTTTCATTTTAACGACCAAAGTTGGGGGTTTGGGGACCAATCTTACAGGTGCAGATAGGGTGATCATCTTTGACCCTGACTGGAATCCCTCAAATGATATGCAGGTAGGTTTGTACTGAATACATCCTTTTGTGGAAATTTTTGAAATTTGAATGAACTTCCCTTCCACCATGTTCACTTAGCCGGTTGGTTATAAATCATAGGAAAACAGCAAAAGTTGCGTTTATATATTTTATGGCATGGGGATTACGGGATAGAGAAATTAGGAATCAATGGGCATAGAAGGGTGAAGCATACAGTGGATTCTTTTATCTCCTTATTTCATTCCATCCTTAACCATGTATCTAACTAAACAAACAAGTTTGTGGAGTAAAATTGTCCGACGTTTATATTTTTGAAATTGTTTCCATTTTCTTATTATCATGGAAGATGTTGTTGTGGTTTCAAATTTAAATCCTAATATGTTTAGTAATAGGATACTAATTTCTTTTAACAGGCCAGAGAGCGGGCTTGGCGTATTGGTCAGAAGCGGGATGTAACCGTGTATAGGTTGATAACACGGGGAACTATTGAGGAGAAAGTGTATCACCGTCAGATTTACAAACATTTTCTTACAAATAAGATATTGAAGAATCCACAACAGAAAAGGTTCTTTAAGGCCCGGGATATGAAAGATCTTTTCGTACTTAACGTGGATGGAGAAACTGGGTCAACTGAAACTTCAAATATTTTTAGTCAAATATCTGAAGAAGTGAATGTCATTGGGACACTGAAAGAAAATAAGGATAAGAATGAACATAGCCAAACTGCCAAACTGGATTCTGAGGATGTTGCAGTTAATAATGATGACAAGTCAGAGAGAGGATCTTCGGAGGGGAAGGGGAAAGAGAAGGTTGAACTTTATAACGGGGTTGATGATGGAACAGATATATTGAAAAGCCTTTTTGATGCCAATGGGATACATGTAAGTTTCTTCTCTGCATACGAGTGTTTCAGCGTACATCCAGTTTTATCATGCATCATTATGTTTATTTGACTAATTCTAGTAAAACTACACCCTGTTGCACAACATCAAGAACTAAGATAATTATGAACAATGCTAGCATACTATATGATTTGATTTTGTACTGTAATTACATTTACCATGCTCTGTGCCTCAGGCTAGTTTAGAATGTGATACTACCAATTAGCATGTTTCTTGTTATAGAGTGATGCTTTTTACTTTCTAGTACTTCTTTTCTGTGTTTCCTTTGTAATAAACCTGTTTTATGATGGTAGAGTGCCGTGAACCATGATTTGATCATGAATGCCCATGATGAGGAGAAGATGAGACTTGAAGAGCAAGCATCCCAAGTTGCTCGAAGAGCTGCAGAAGCTTTACGTAAGTCACGAATGCTCAGAAGCCATGATAGTGTATCTGTTCCTACGTGGACAGGAAGGTCAGGAACTGCTGGTGCACCATCATCTGTTCGTCAGAAGTTTGGTTCAACCGTGAATCCCCTATTGGTAAGTAAAAGCAAGGTATATGACGAGTTACCCAGCAAGGGAACGACAAAATTAAATGGATTCGCTGCTGGGGCATCCGCAGGTAAAGCTTTATCTTCTGTCGAACTTTTAGCTCAAATTCGAGGTAACCAAGAGAAAGCCATTGGTGCTGGGCTCGAACATCAGTCTAGCATGTTGTCAAGTTCCACGAATCAAGCAAGATCTGTAGATGTTAGATCTTCCAGGGCTACTGCAAGTTCATCTGGATTACAACCTGAAGTATTGATTCGGCAAATCTGCACTTTTATACAACAGCGAGGGGGTAGTTCTGATTCAGCCAGCATAGTTTAGTATTTTAAGGAACGTATTCCCTCACAAGATCTTGCCCTGTTCAAGAATCTGTTAAAGGAAATTGCGACTCTGCATAAAGGATCAAATGGATCTCATTGGGTTCTGAAACCAGACTATCAATTCTGATATCAGACACTACCAATAGGAGTGAGTTATTTGCCAATATTCCTATGCCAACAGTAGACTCTGAAGCATGCTTCTTCGTGCTGTCGTGGTTTATTCTTTTACTGATGTTAGTTTATGTATGAGACAGTCGCGAAGAATGCCTGTAGAGCCCGTTTTTGAGTTCTTAGCTCAATTTTGCACACGGAAAAGGGATAAATAGTTTCACAGGCACCTCTATGGAGTGCGGTAAATAGTAGTTTTGTAAAGCCGCATGGTTATTTCTATTTTTATTCATTTGGTTATCTAAGTAAAGAGACAATTCCTTTAACATCAATAATACTTCCTTTTAATCTTAACTAAGCATTCTCATGTGTAGACTTATTAAATTAATCTATTTAATAGGATTTGTTCTTAGTTGAAACAAAATAAGTCTACAAAATAAAAAAAATCCTTATTAAAGAAATATATGGGACTAAATTTTTTTATGGATCTTCTTTTAATATGTTTGACTATTTTATTTTTAATAATATTAAAAAAGTTTCTGATTAAGTTAATATATTAGTTTAATTGATACTATAATTTAATCATAGTCATACATTTCTAAATCAAATTTTGTAACTATATTAAAATTTATTTTTTATTTTTTAAAATTGTGTATTTTTATTCAATTTTAATATACGTTTATATTATATTAGCATTAATTTGATTTTTTTATGGATAATTCTTTTGAATTGAGACATACTTAATTATATTTTAGATATCAAAACTAAAAATAAAAACTTATTTATATTAATTATTTTAAATGGTTTATCAAAATAAATTCATAAAAGTTAAATTAATCTAATTTAATCTCTTAACTTTATAATAAACATCAACGTAATTATTTTCGTGTACTACTCATACCGACTATTAAAAAATTGTCAACATAATGATGTGATATTTTTTTCTATATTAAATTTTCTTTAATTACTATTTTAAATAATTGAAATATGAAATAATTTATTTATTTTTTATTTCAAATTTTTCATTTTTCCAAAAATTTTAAATTTATATAACTTTTTATTCGTAATATACTTAATTACTACTTATAAAAATAAAATGTAATAAATTACTATCTACTAAAATAAATTAATTACTATCATTAGTGTTGAATATAGTAAAAAACATAGTAAAAAACTATGTCTAAGATTAATATTTTTCGGGTTGAATATATACATAAGATGTTATATTTATAATAGAAGAAATATGCGCTAAATAAAAAAAATGGAATAATAATAAACTAATTAATGATAAAAGGTAAAAATAAGATATCTAATAATCTAATATATCTAACACTCTTCATTCAAGCTGGTGCATACAAATTGTATGTACTAAACTTGTTACAAATATAATCAATTGTTGATCTCATAAAGACTTAATAAAAATATATGTTTTTATGCTCGAGTAATACCAAATTATTAATGATTTCGAATACGACATAAAAGACGATATACCATTCCAGAAGACTCCTTTGAACAACAAATCCAAGAGGTTGCTTCATATAAATATCTTCTTGCAAATTGTTATTGAGAAACACATTAACATCCCGTTAATAAATAGATCATTGTTGAAGAGTCACCATGGTTATAAATAAACCAACAAAAAGTCATCTTTGTCACTCCAGAAAAATATATATGAATGGGTCAGATGCATCGAGTGATAGAAGAGAATTCATAAAAAATGAATGGGTCAAATGTGTCGGTGATAGAAGAAAATTCATAAGAGACCATAACGGAAGAAGTCATGAATGAACAAGAGAGAAATCCTAAAAAATCAAGATTCTCCAATCAAGACACCAAGTAGAGATCCTTAAAGAGAAGAAAGAGGCGACCTCAACACAATGAATCGTGGTTGGAGAAGAGTTGAGACATGTGGCGAGATAGGACACAAATATGCAACTTCGAGAGGCGTATAAGAGTGTGTAGGATATCCAATGAAAGTGTTGTTGACGACTAGGTGATCACCTGGTTGAGACTATCAAAATCATGTGATCGATAGTCAAAATTGACAAAAAATATTTCATAAAAAACTTTATTCTCTAAATACTATGTTGAATATAATAAAAAATTATGTTTGGATTAATCTCATTTATTGAATATACATTGGTATTGTATTTATGATAAAAGAAATATGAACAAAACTTAAAATATAAATAAAGAATAATAAATAACTAACAATAAAACATAAAAAATAAGATATATAGAAAATAACTTTCATATATAATATTATAATTCCACATTTATATATCTAATGTGAATTTTATAAATTGTAATTTGTAATTCAAAGGTAATAATAAAACGTAAGAAGTTATTAGATTATTACAGTAGTAGTTTTAAAATTGCCAGTATAATCATGTACACTAATTTTTTTTAGTATTTCTCCCTACTTTTCTTCATATTTTTCCATCTACTTCTCCATATTTTTTCCTACACCTTTACATTTCAAAAGTAACATTTTTCAACCAATTCTAAAATTTATTGAAGTTTTCAAAAAATTATTTAACAAATATCAAAATTGAAGAAAAAGAATTTCAACGAATTTTAAAATTTATTAAAGAAAAAATTTTCAACGAATTTCAAAATTTATTAAAAAAATTTTTTTTAATAATTTTCGAAATCTTTTGAAATTTTTTTTCAATCAATTTCAAAATTCGTAAAAAAAAAAGTGAGATGTAAGAATTTTTTTGGATTTTTTGAAATGCGAGATAATTTTAAAATTGAAAAAAAAGTGAGAATACAAGAAAAAAAAATGTGAAGAGGTGTATGAAGAAACACTTTTTTCCATCTAAAATGTCACATGACATTTTCAGAAAATTAAGGATTTACTCTTAATCATTTAAAAATCAAATTCAACTTCTTAAAAACAGGTCTAGAAAAAGAAAAGTAATTTAACCTTGACTTTGTTANATGTATTTTTTATGATGGAGAATAATAAATCACTCTTATTTTCAACTAGGGTTATGTTAAAAATTTGGTCTTTATGGTCCCTACCATTAACCAAAGTTATAAAAGTGTTAAATTTTTGTTAAGTTTACCCCTACTGTCATTTCAGACAAATGTTTGACACTGTTGTAATTTGGTTGACAACAGTGGAGACCATTTTATAAATATAATTTTTTTATGTAACAACTAAAATGTAGAGGTTTAATTTTTTTTTTGTGTAGGGACCAAAATAAAAAATGGTGTCAAATATAGAGACCAAATATTTAATTTAACCATTAAAACAAACCTTTTACTGGTGTAAATTTCCTCCTCCTTTATTAAATTCCATAACCAATTTTCATAAAAAGTGCCAGAAGGGAAAATTACTCACTGGTAGATTTATGGATGCACCAGATAAATAAGGTTAAGGTGGCCAGTTTTCATATCCTTTTTGTTATCACTAGAAAGTTTATCAATGTTTACTGAAGTCGGAGAAGAACAATTCGAAATTTATCCAAAAATATGGATGTCTTTTGTTCATAAACTGGAAATGTTTTTCCAGGAATTTCTCTATTGTACTTCTTCAAACAAAATTTAAGGCATTGTATTGTTTTAATAATAAGCTACAACAGGTAACCAATCATGATCCTTTGATGTGTGGGAAAATGAAGCAAATGAAGTTGTTGTTCAATATTTTTAATTAGATTGTTTGCATATTTCATCTAGGAATATTGAACTAGTTAACTTTGAAGGTAAGCCTCTAATACCAAAAATAATATTAATATTCTTGTCATTTTTTAGGTGTGCTGTGGTGCTGCGTGATTTAATCATGCCTTATCTTCTCCGACGGATGAAGGCTGATGTGAATGCCCAACTTCCAAAGAAGACGGAGCATGTTCTATTTTGCAGCCTTACACCAGAACAAGTATCTGCTTACAGAGCATTTTTAGCTAGCACTGATGTGGAGCAAATATTGGATGGACACAGGAATTCTCTTTATGGAATTGATGTGATGCGCAAGATCTGTAACCACCCTGATCTACTTGAAAGGGATCATGCCTTCAGTGATCCAGATTATGGAAATCCAGAACGTAGTGGGAAAATGAAAGTTGTTGGTCAAGTGCTTAATGTTTGGAAGGAACAGGGTCACCGTGTTCTCCTTTTTACTCAAACCCAACAAATGCTTGACATTTTTGAGAATTTTTTGACATCTTCTGGTCATGTTTATCGGAGAATGGATGGTCTTACTCCTGTTAAACAGAGAATGGCCTTAATAGATGAATTTAATGCCTCAAGTGAAATATTTATTTTCATTTTAACGACCAAAGTTGGGGGTTTGGGGACCAATCTTACAGGTGCAGATAGGGTGATCATCTTTGACCCTGACTGGAATCCCTCAAATGATATGCAGGTAGGTTTGTACTGAATACATCCTTTTGTGGAAATTTTTGAAATTTGAATGAACTTCCCTTCCACCATGTTCACTTAGCCGGTTGGTTATAAATCATAGGAAAACAGCAAAAGTTGCGTTTATATATTTTATGGCATGGGGATTACGGGATAGAGAAATTAGGAATCAATGGGCATAGAAGGGTGAAGCATACAGTGGATTCTTTTATCTCCTTATTTCATTCCATCCTTAACCATGTATCTAACTAAACAAACAAGTTTGTGGAGTAAAATTGTCCGACGTTTATATTTATGAAATTGTTTCCATTTTCTTATTATCATGGAAGATGTTGTTGTGGTTTCAAATTTAAATCCTAAAATGTTTAGTAATAGGATACTAATTTCTTTTAACAGGCCAGAGAGCGGGCTTGGCGTATTGGTCAGAAGCGGGATGTAACCGTGTATAGGTTGATAACACGGGGAACTATTGAGGAGAAAGTGTATCACCGTCAGATTTACAAACATTTTCTTACAAATAAGATATTGAAGAATCCACAACAGAAAAGGTTCTTTAAGGCCCGGGATATGAAAGATCTTTTCGTACTTAACGTGGATGGAGAAACTGGGTCAACTGAAACTTCAAATATTTTTAGTCAAATATCTGAAGAAGTGAATGTCATTGGGACACTGAAAGAAAATAAGGATAAGAATGAACATAGCCAAACTGCCAAACTGGATTCTGAGGATGTTGCAGTTAATAATGATGACAAGTCAGAGAGAGGATCTTCGGAGGGGAAGGGGAAAGAGAAGGTTGAACTTTATAACGGGGTTGATGATGGAACAGATATATTGAAAAGCCTTTTTGATGCCAATGGGATACATGTAAGTTTCTTCTCTGCATACGAGTGTTTCAGCGTACATCCAGTTTTATCATGCATCATTATGTTTATTTGACTAATTCTAGTAAAACTACACCCTGTTGCACAACATCAAGAACTAAGATAAATATGAACAATGCTAGCATACTATATGATTTGATTTTGTACTGTAATTACATTTACCATGCTCTGTGCCTCAGGCTAGTTTAGAATGTGATACTACCAATTAGCATGTTTCTTGTTATAGAGTGATGCTTTTTACTTTCTAGTACTTCTTTTCTGTGTTTCCTTTGTAATAAACCTGTTCTATGATGGTAGAGTGCCGTGAACCATGATTTGATCATGAATGCCCATGATGAGGAGAAGATGAGACTTGAAGAGCAAGCATCCCAAGTTGCTCGAAGAGCTGCAGAAGCTTTACGTAAGTCACGAATGCTCAGAAGCCATGATAGTGTATCTGTTCCTACGTGGACAGGAAGGTCAGGAACTGCTGGTGCACCATCATCTGTTCGTCAGAAGTTTGGTTCAACCGTGAATCCCCTATTGGTAAGTAAAAGCAAGGTATATGACGAGTTACCCAGCAAGGGAACGACAAAATTAAATGGATTCGCTGCTGGGGCATCCGCAGGTAAAGCTTTATCTTCTGTCGAACTTTTAGCTCAAATTCGAGGTAACCAAGAGAAAGCCATTGGTGCTGGGCTCGAACATCAGTCTAGCATGTTGTCAAGTTCCACGAATCAAGCAAGATCTGTAGATGTTAGATCTTCCAGGGCTACTGCAAGTTCATCTGGATTACAACCTGAAGTATTGATTCGGCAAATCTGCACTTTTATACAACAGCGAGGGGGTAGTTCTGATTCAGCCAGCATAGTTGAGTATTTTAAGGAACGTATTCCCTCACAAGATCTTGCCCTGTTCAAGAATCTGTTAAAGGAAATTGCGACTCTGCATAAAGGATCAAATGGATCTCATTGGGTTCTGAAACCAGACTATCAATTCTGATATCAGACACTACCAATAGGAGTGAGTTATTTGCCAATATTCCTATGCCAACAGTAGACTCTGAAGCATGCTTCTTCGTGCTGTCGTGGTTTATTCTTTTACTGATGTTAGTTTATGTATGAGACAGTCGCGAAGAATGCCTGTAGAGCCCGTTTTTGAGTTCTTAGCTCAATTTTGCACACGGAAAAGGGATAAATAGTTTCACAGGCACCTCTATGGAGTGCGGTAAATAGTAGTTTTGTAAAGCCGCATGGTTATTTCTATTTTTATTCATTTGGTTATCTAAGTAAAGAGACAATTCCTTTAACATCAATAATACTTCCTTTTAATCTTAACTAAGCATTCTCATGTGTAGACTTATTAAATTAATCTATTTAATAGGATTTGTTCTTAGTTGAAACAAAATAAGTCTACAAAATAAAAAAAATCCTTATTAAAGAAATATATGGGACTAAATTTTTTTATGGATCTTCTTTTAATGTTTGACTATTTTATTTTTAATAATATTAAAAAAGTTTCTGATTAAGTTAATATATTAGTTTAATTGATACTATAATTTAATCATAGTCATACATTTCTAAATCAAATTTTGTAACTATATTAACATTTATTTTTTATTTTATAAAATTGTGTATTTTTATTCAATTTTAATATACGTTTATATTATATTAGCATTAATTTGATTTTTTTTTATGGATAATTCTTTTGAAAATTATATTTTAGATATCAAAACTAAAAATAAAAACTTATTTATATTAATTATTTTAAATGGTTTATCAAAATAAATTCATAAAAGTTAAATTAATCTAATTTAATCTCTTAACTTTATAATAAACATCAACGTAATTATTTTCGTGTACTACTCATACCGACTAAAAATTGTCAACATAATGATGTGATATTTTTTTCTATATTAAATTTTCTTTAATTACTATTTTAAATAATTGAAATATGAAATAATTTATTTATTTTTTATTTCAAATTTTTCATTTTTCCAAAATTTTAAATTTATATAACTTTTTATTCGTAATATACTTAATTACTACTTATAAAAATAAAATGTAATAAATTACTATCTACTAAAATAAATTAATTACTATCATTAGTGTTGAATATAGTAAAAAACATAGTAAAAAACTATGTCTAAGATTAATATTTTTCGGGTTGAATATATACATAAGATGTTATATTTATAATAGAAGAAATATGCGCTAAATAAAAAAAATGGAATAATAATAAACTAATTAATGATAAAAGGTAAAAATAAGATATCTAATAATCTAATATATCTAACACTCTTCATTCAAGCTGGTGCATACAAATTGTATGTACTAAACTTGTTACAAATATAATCAATTGTTGATCTCATAAAGACTTAATAAAAATATATGTTTTTATGCTCGAGTAATACCAAATTATTAATGATTTCGAATACGACATAAAAGACGATATACCATTCCAGAAGACTCCTTTGAACAACAAATCCAAGAGGTTGCTTCATATAAATATCTTCTTGCAAATTGTTATTGAGAAACACATTAACATCCCGTTAATAAATAGATCATTGTTGAAGAGTCACCATGGTTATAAATAAACCAACAAAAAGTCATCTTTGTCACTCCAGAAAAATATATATGAATGGGTCAGATGCATCGAGTGATAGAAGAGAATTCATAAAAAATGAATGGGTCAAATGTGTCGGTGATAGAAGAAAATTCATAAGAGACCATAACGGAAGAAGTCATGAATGAACAAGAGAGAAATCCTAAAAAATCAAGATTCTCCAATCAAGACACCAAGTAGAGATCCTTAAAGAGAAGAAAGAGGCGACCTCAACACAATGAATCGTGGTTGGAGAAGAGTTGAGACATGTGGCGAGATAGGACACAAATATGCAACTTCGAGAGGCGTATAAGAGTGTGTAGGATATCCAATGAAAGTGTTGTTGACGACTAGGTGATCACCTGGTTGAGACTATCAAAATCATGTGATCGATAGTCAAAATTGACAAAAAATATTTCATAAAAAACTTTATTCTCTAAATACTATGTTGAATATAATAAAAAATTATGTTTGGATTAATCTCATTTATTGAATATACATTGGTATTGTATTTATGATAAAAGAAATATGAACAAAACTTAAAATATAAATAAAGAATAATAAATAACTAACAATAAAACATAAAAAATAAGATATATAGAAAATAACTTTCATATATAATATTATAATTCCACATTTATATATCTAATGTGAATTTTATAAATTGTAATTTGTAATTCAAAGGTAATAATAAAACGTAAGAAGTTATTAGATTATTACAGTAGTAGTTTTAAAATTGCCAGTATAATCATGTACACTAATTTTTTTTAGTATTTCTCCCTACTTTTCTTCATATTTTTCCATCTACTTCTCCATATTTTTTCCTACACCTTTACATTTCAAAAGTAACATTTTTCAACCAATTCTAAAATTTATTGAAGTTTTCAAAAAATTATTTAACAAATATCAAAATTGAAGAAAAAGAATTTCAACGAATTTTAAAATTTATTAAAGAAAAAATTTTCAACGAATTTCAAAATTTATTAAAAAAATTTTTTTTAATAATTTTCGAAATCTTTTGAAATTTTTTTTCAATCAATTTCAAAATTCGTAAAAAAAAAAGTGAGATGTAAGAATTTTTTTGGATTTTTTGAAATGCGAGATAATTTTAAAATTGAAAAAAAAGTGAGAATACAAGAAAAAAAAATGTGAAGAGGTGTATGAAGAAACACTTTTTTCCATCTAAAATGTCACATGACATTTTCAGAAAATTAAGGATTTACTCTTAATCATTTAAAAATCAAATTCAACTTCTTAAAAACAGGTCTAGAAAAAGAAAAGTAATTTAACCTTGACTTTGTTATAAACTGTGCTCGTGTTAATAATTCTTTTTACAAATATATATATATAAAATAAAATATCTTGTATTAACTTTTTGTTAGCTTCAATAGGAACTTGCCTTTAATTTACACAAACAATTTATTTATAATGTCAATTATAATATTCTAAATTATAATTTATAGCCTCGGACGATTGTAATGTTGTAGGGAGTTTTGAAATTTAGTGCAATCGTCCGTGTAGAGAGCTACACAGGTACATAGCTGTTGGCTCTGTTGCACAAGTGACAAGTGCAACATATAGCAGCTGCTAAAACTGGATATTGTCAAGCAACACAAAAACGGCTTCATATATACCTATTTCAATTATTGGGCATTCGGTTGACTGATGATACATGCGTGACATTCGTAACACTACCTTTAACATAAAATCACAAGCACAACTTAATCAATAAATATTCTTTTGGGGATACTGATTGGGGGTAATTCTTTTTATAGAGATGAGAAAACTGTTATTACAAACAAAAGAAATACATAAATATTTCCATAATATTCTCAAGCGATCGATTTACTTGGTAGTTGGCACTAGATTCACTTATGACACCTCCTTGTGCACATATTCTTCCACTGTTGCTTTTCTCAATATAAAGAACCAAAAAAATCAGAGAATAATAAAAGCCTCATTGTTAAAATTCTCATTGTATGTAATCAGAAGGCTGCCCATCCTGAAGCTCCTGAGGTGTTTGTTGAGGGAAGATTTTTCTGTAAATGCAAACAACCAAGAAATGCGATTGTTACTCATAACAGAGAAAACCTCTTGGTTAAACTGGAACGCTCCAGATTATAACCAAGAAAATTGCTCGCTTTTTCAAATCATTGTGATCAAGTGTGTAGGACTCTAAAACTATAAAAATAAACGAGTATACACAGTTAGTATTCTAAATCTCTTGACCTTTATGCGGTTATGCCTTGAAATCAAGGGTACGTTACTTCAGTTTTGGAGATACAACATCGAGAATTGGATGATGAAAAAGTTAGGTTAATCAATCCTATTAAAATTAGATAGATAAAGCATATACAGTCCCCAATTAGATCTTGTCTGAACGATCTATAGGAAATGATGTTGCTGTTAAGTCGTGCAATGCAATAACTATTAAGCCAAAAATGTCAACGACATGAGTCAATAACATTCGAAAAGGAAAATACCAAATGCACGAGTTGGATCCGCATACCTGTAGTTGAGAAAGATCTGATAAAGAGTCAGTAGAATGTTTCACACTTTCATATGTTCCTTTAGGATCAGTAGCGCGACCTGTAGAAGCAATCCGAGCAGCAACAGGATCATTTGGTGGGGGTGGAAGGGGAGACCTGATTTTCCCAATCCCACTTGGTGGGGGAGCTAGGCTCAAGGTTTTTGGTTTTGGTGTTGCAGCATGCCCACCGGTTAGGCCAGCAGCTGAAAGCATGCCAGTTCCACCAGATACCTTGTGCTTCACATTAATTCTAATGGTTTCCCCGTCCTAAATGCCAAATAACAAATACATCCTTGAGAACAATGGAAAAGTGGCGATCCACAGGATAAGAGAAACACACTGATAAGATATGAGAAAGTAAATTCATCAAAATTTTGAAGAATTGTGAAACAGAAACACACCTAGAAACTGCTAAAAATTTTATATTTGACCAAAGCAAAGTAAGGTCGTGTTTAGATAAACTTATCTATAAATATGTACAGCAGAAGAAAATAAGAACATAAAATGTATTCTTCGTAAGCTCAAATCAATTTGAACAAGTTAAATGAAAAGAACTTCTATGAAAATTAAGTGCATACATTAACTTTAGCTTATGTCAAAAGCTCAAATCATTTTAGTTTCTATAAATTAATCCAAACTGACCCTAATTCTTGGTCACAGCAAAAACAGCATACAGTACATAACAAAGATTACGCACAGCACAAAAATATCATCTTACTAATCCACTTAACCACAGCATTGAATCATGCTTCATCATTCACTCAACAGGTAGACCAATGAAAAATTACATCTCATCTATCCATCTCGAAATAAACTAATTCATAATGATCACGGTCGCGATTTGCAGTTCAATTACAGAATTGAAACAAGCCGACTGTAGAAATTGTGATCGATATACCTTAAGCCTGTGATTGACGGCGGGGTGAATGTCGATCTGAGACTCTTCAGCGGCAGCGGAGTCACCGGATTCCTTCTCGTGCTCGCGGCGTACGTACTTCTCGTGATCGGAGAGCGCCACGTTGAAGTCGAAGGCCTCGTTCCTCTCATTGAACCCTAGCCCAATGAAGGCGTGCTTACCGCGACCGTCCTCGATCTTGAGGACGAAATAGCGCGACGAGTCGAGGACCGGCTCCACCGCGCTCTCGCGCTGGCCAGGGTACACGAAGCACGCGGCGAAGAGGTCACCGGAGTTCGGATCTTCAAGGCGGATCTCGCAGCGGTCCCGACGAG